AGTGATGGGATGTTAGAGGAAAAAACTGATGGGTGAAGACTATTTTTTAGACTGAGCTCTTGGAAGACAGTTTCAGTATCGTTGTCATGGCTGGTTTATTGTAGCCAGAGCACAAGAATCTCTGATGGGACTGCTGGGGGCTGGTGGAGGAACGAACAGACAACAGGCCTACTGGACCTGTGTTGTCTATTGTGCTTTGGATTATACATTACAAACTATACAGAAAATGTTCAAGTACCAGATTCTTTATTAAAGGTGCTTTTGAAAAATTTCAGTGTTTCATAATAAACATAATTTTATTTAATACTTTTGGCTTCCTAGTTCTGGGATGGAATGTGAAACCCTTTTTCCACTCAAAAAGTCAATTGGAGCAAAGCCAGTGATGGACAGAGGCAGAGCTAAAAATGGACAAAGACATGCTTTTCCTTTCTACCTCTTTTTCTGCCATCCCATTTTTGTCTTATACACTATGAGCAAGTTGAGTTTAATCTAGTTTATTTTAGGCTATCTTTTAGGATCATGTCCTTAGAAGGTAATCTTTAGTATACCAATAGCACGGGCATCCTTCAGTCTCGAGAGACTATGGTGACGTGCTCTGTATGAAGGACTTGGAACGCTCTCTGCGAAACTGGAGTGTCCTCTCCAGGGCACAAAGCCTGGGTAAAATAATATGGAGAATAGGCTGTTACCCAAGCAGCAAATCCCTCCTCTCCACATCACTGAATTAGTCCAATGGAAAGGCATGAGCCAATACAGTTCGTTCCAGTGATGTCACAGGAGTTGACAGAATGACATAAACTGCCTCCAGGACTCCAGCTCCGGATTTTTTCTCGAGGTTGACTCCTGAAGCCTTTTCCATCAGTGGATATAGCCACAAGGCAGTGGAGGTTTGAAATCAGAGTTTACCAATACAGAACCAAAATAAAAACAAAATCATTATAGAACTACAAAATATAAAGGCATTATAAATATAAAACTTAATTATGATTTATACTAAAATAATAGCAAAAAAATTGAATTGTGGTGCTGGAGGAAACCCTTGAGAGTCCCCTGGACTGCAAAGAGAACAAATCTATCCATTTTGAAGGAAATCAACTCTGAGTGCTCACTGGAAGGACAGATCCTGAAGCTGAGACTCCAGTACTTTGGCCATCTCATGAGAAGAGAAGACTCCCTAGAAAAGACCCTGATGTTGGGAACGTGTGAGGGCAAAAGGAGAAGGGGACGACTGAGGATGAGATGGTTGGACAGTGTCATCAAAGCTACCAACATGAATTTGACCCAACTCCGGGAGGCAGTGGAAGACAGGAGAGCCTGGCGTGCTCTGGTCCATGGGGTCATGAAGAGTCAGACACAACTTAACAAGTAAACAACAAACAACAACAAAATGGTAAAAAGCAATGTCTCTGTCACTGACACAGATAATTCAGCATCTGATTAATTAAGATGTTATTTTAAAATGCAAGGAGAAATAGACAAGTTTGTAAAGACCATTTGGAGACCACATTAAAAAGTGGTAAACTGCTAAAAACTCCTCTTCCACATGCCAGCCAACTTAATTGTATGCATCTGTAGGCATGCAAAGTATCTTAAACCATAAGCAAGTTAACACTGGTTTAGAATTGTGCAAGAAGACCGACTGCAAACAGCTTTAAAAGTTAAACAGCTTTAAAAGCTAAACAAAACAGAACAAAAAACAGCATTCTGAATGGTTGCATTCTCTAATCTCTGACTGCTCTTTCCCCACCAATAATCAGGTAACTGCATTCCATGTCAAATGAATTTTCCAAGCTGCTCCCAAAAGACATCCCTAGAACAGAGACCATAATAATCTAGAGCAAATATTATTTGTTCTTGAGTAACCAGGGCTGGGTACTCAGTGTGGTGGACTAGGATTCAGAAGATGACTCAGTTCTTAGGCTCTACCATGGAAATTGACTGGAGAAGTAGAACTGGTAAAACTGCTCCTTAAATATCTCACTTACCCTGACAATGGCATATAATAAAAACCAAGGCTAGATCAATCCTCCCTAGTGCATAGAATTTTCAGAGGGTGCTGACAGGAGTGGTTATTTACGATTATTGTGAATTGGACTTATGTTGATATGTCTAAGTACTGTACAACCACATCCCACACCTGACATTGGGTGCCACTGAAAAATGTGACACATTCCTCCTGTCTTCCCCCTTTTAATTCTGTTCTTAAATTTGTTTTATGACTTTGCCACTGACAGAAAATTATGTAAACCAGGTGTAAGGAAAAGACGTAAGGAAGTTGAATATTATTTATTTATTTATTTAACTTATATGCCGCCCACACTACCCAAAGGTCTCTGGGTGGCTTTATGGGAAGGGTAGAAGACAAAACGTGACACAGAACTATCATAGGTGGCAGCAACTTTAGTTAAACCCAGATCTGTCCTAAGATTTCTCATTAGGTCAAGCAACAGGATCCTGAACTCTCAAAACTCTTGCCAAATAATAAATGCACAACCCTGAGTATACTGCAAAATGGATGTTTTTTCCCCTCCAGAATGTTTTTAAGACACTGTGGCTCTGCACTGTTTCCTTATTTTTAATGTTTTAGTTTGGCAAAATTAAATATACTGTATAGAACAGAGCACTGAGTCTAAATGAATCGCAAACCAGTCCCAAGGACACCGACTTTTAAGCTCCTATTCAGGTGTACTGTATCTATTTCTGTAAGCAACATCACACAGGATTTTTTTTTGCATATATAACATCAGTGCAAATTAATTTCCTACATGTAGCCACATGTACTCTGCTAGCTAGGCTCAATATATTTGCTAATATATGTTAACTATCTGTGCACCAGAAAGATATGTTTGATAAGTAGGTTTTCATACAATGTAACTCCGTGGTTAGGGTGGAGTTGACGATCTATGGGATTCTGGCCATTAACCCTTTATGCTCTAAAAGTTGTATAAAAGCAGAAAAAACGTGTTCACATGGTGGTGTCCACTAGAATCTCTAGACTAGAGTGAAATTGCCAATTTTGCAGCAGATCAAGGGAATGTTATTAGTAATTAGAAGAATCAGGAAAGTGTGGTAGGTTATCAGCAAGAAAAAAATACTGTATATGCATTTGTGTAACCTAGGTTTTCCTTGTGTCTCCAGTAATGGAATGGGTATAGCTATTTTGTATGCACATAATCCTTCATTAAATCCCTGCATTATGCAGGTAATCTGGGGCTGTCTGCAGTACAAAATCCTGTTTGGCCGCTGCCAGTCAGTGGACAGATTAAGTAAAATGGATCCATGATTATAAAGCAATTTCCTAAGTTTTTTTCTTAAATCTGTTGTTCATGGGAAAAAGTGAAAGCAACAAAGAATGAGAGAAACAGTTGAAGAGGACCATGAAAGTAAAGGAAGGCAGTAACTATCCTACCTTTAGTTTACTTCTCTGGAGATCACAGTGGAGAGAAGTGAACCCATTGTGCTGCCTAGACAGAAAGTGTAAGCAACTCCCTGTGGCTTTTCATGTTTTTGAGCTCTTGTTTCCACAATTCCTTACCACTGATTATGCTGCCTAGGGCTGCTGGAAGCCGTAGGCCAAAAACATCTGGAGAACTAAACATCTGGAGAACTGCAGCTGCCTACTCCTCTCCTCACTCAATGATCATCTCACTCTCAAAGTAGTGTTTCCCAACCTTAGGTCTCCCAGATGTTCTTCAGCTACAACTCTCAGAAATGCCAGCCAGCACAGCTGCTGGTGAAGGCTTCTAATTCTGGGGACCCAAAGTTGGGAACTTCTCTTTCCATAGAAAGGTGCCAATTGTGCTTTCTCTCACATTCACATTTTTTAAGCCTCAAGGTTTTTCTATCCAGAATATTGAGATTACTGACATATGCAAGTGCGTTGCCAATTCAACAGGTACACGAATCTCCTAGAGGAGGGAAAGGGCATGTTGTACTTCCCTGATCGTCAGAAGAGGCAATCCTAGCAATAGAGAATTTGTCTGGTTAGCTTGAGGGCATTTGAAGGCAAGAGGCCTAGAGGAGAAGCATTCTTTCCTCCCGCCACCTAGTAAAGTTAGGGCAATCAAGCATCCATTTAATCAGGTTTATCAAGTAAAACGCTTCCCCCCCCATTCCCATTTCCCGGCGTGAGGGGAATATGGCGTCTGTAACGGATTGTTCGTGTTCGTGTCGAGATTTCACGGATGGGGGGGTGTTTTGTGTTATATAACATGACGGTCTTTTCTTCTCTCGTATTTCTCGTAGGTTCTCGGGTGGGGGCGAAGAAGGGAGCCGAGGAAGGAGGAAAGCCACTTTTCGCTTTCCAGCTGTTTCTAGGGCATTCTGAGGGCACGGGTTGCGGAGGGAGGGGCGCCACGGAAAAGCTCTCTACGCCTCAGCCCTTGGGAGGGGAGGGGCAAGAAGGCAACCGCCCAATCAACTCTTCCTCTTCCAAGTCGCTCTGCATGCCAGGGGCGGAGCAAGGACCGCTGTGCCGAGGGGGGGGAAATTCCTCTCTCCACCTAGCGCTCACTCTGATGATGATGTCATCGTGCCACTCTCAAAAAATTCCCGCCCCCTCCTCTCGCTTGGAAGAGGCGCCAAAGAACCCCCTCCTCCTCCTTCCCCACCCGCAGTCCTTGCCACAGAAGAGATAACGGCGGTTGGGTAGACAGCGAGAAGAAACCTACGAAAACGCATGCGCAATCTTGCGACGGTTAGGGAAAGGGAAGGCCGCTGGAATTACCCCATGGGGGAGTGTATATATGTGTCTCGCGCTTGACGCATGCGCGCTGCCAAATCCCTCCCGGAGGCTCCAAGCTTCGGACCACCACCCCATCAGAAAAAGGCGAAGGGGGGTGAGAAGCTGTGAACGGCGCATGAGCATCCTTCCACGCAGAGCCCGCCTCCCGCCGGCGAAGGCTGGCGAGAATCCCCGCCCACTTCCCGCCCCCTCCCTTCTGTGTCAGTGAAGGTTCCCGATGGTTCTGGAAAGAGGCGGCGGCGCGGGTATAAAAGGCAAGCGAGAGGCGGGAGCCCCGCGCAGTGCAGTTTGTGAGGCGTTAGGGGAGCGTGGGTTTCTAAGGTAGCCGAGCGAGCTCTTTGCCAGTGGTCGTCACGCCGCCAAGGTGAGGAAGGCCGCGAGAGAGGGAAGGTTTCGGGGGGTCAGTGAAGTGGACGAGGCGTGCAAAACAGGTCTTTTTGTTGGTTCCCCCTGAGATGTGGCGGTGGGGAAGCTCATTAAAACGGCGGAAAGCGAAGTCTGATGCGGCTTCTTTGGAGTCGACGGTGGATGGGGGGGGGAAGAGGAAGGGGCGAAACCTGGCAGGCCGATCGAAGTTGGCACTGAGGGGCGGCCGAGCGTCGGGAGGGGAGGCGAAGGAGAAGGAAGGGGGATGGCCATTCCTCAGGGGCTCTGCGTAGCTGGAGGGGGATGGCGAAAGCTGGCCGTTGCCTGAATTGGGAGGGGGGGCAGAGAGAGAAGGTGGCGGCTGCTCCTTGTCCAGGGAAAGGAGTCTCATGAAAGCCTGGCCATAAAAAATGGAGAGAGGTTTTTTAAAAAACCTCAGGCCGGATTTCAGATCCT